CGATAGGCGATAGCCGATAGGCGATAGGCGATAGGCGATAGGTCATTCTATGAACTAGCAATAGCTAAAGTGAATTGTGTTTCTTATAGTTTCGCGTCAAAAACACGGAAGTTAGGGTTGAGATCGATATCCAGTGTTGTTTGTAGTCAACAACAGGGGTCTTACCTATTTACCAGCTACGGTTGCGACAATCAACTCTCGCCTTGAGGACACCCCGATATTACGGACAACTCGCTATATTGACAAAGAAATGACCATCATTAATTCTCGCTACAGCCAACTCTCATTACAGCGGACAGTCTCTGGACTGTCACTTCATGTCCGTAATAGCGAGCGTCGGCAGTAGCGAGAATTAATTACGGCAATGAAGTATTACTTCATTATCGGTCCCGAGGCTGTCCGAGAATTAACTGTATATGAAAAAGATTAAATATCTAAGGAGGTGTTTCTTATGTTTTAAGCTCATACATATAAACGATGTTTGAAATGAATCGTTTTCTGATATATGTGATGACGTCATCGCGCATACGTAATTTACGACGGCATATAACAAGCACGGTTTGACCGAAAAAATAAGCTAGATTGTAGCACCTGAGATGAATTGGTACACATTTAAGCATGGGTTTTACTCTATCTACGTTAAGCGGTTGGAAAAATATTTAAATTTCAAATTTTCAACATGTCTTTTTATCCTGGCCTTCTCACCGTTTTCAAAAATAATGCTATTTTTATTAAATAAGTAATTTCAAGTAAATAGGTAAGACCCGCTCAAAGGACTCGACTTAGTACAACATCTACTTTCAGAGGAATCGTCCGTGACTGCCCGGCTCGTTGAAAGGATAGAAAAACACGTTGGTTTCGTAGAAGTGAGATACAACGGGACCTGGATACCAATCTGTGATGATACCTTGGATATATCAGATGCCTACGTGGTCTGTAGAATGCTTGGTTACAAAGGAGCCCAAGCACCAATACGACAGTATCGTCAAGGAGTAAATGGATTATGGATGGGTGGTGTGGAATGTAGTGGCGATGAAGTATCAATTAGCCACTGTTATCATCGCGGGTGGACAAACGCTCGATGCCGTGGGAACTACTATGCTGGTGTCATGTGTAAAGTGACAAAAGGTTAGTCTTTTTTTCTGATATTTTATCTTTCCTTGTAGAATATCAAACGTTTGATTGATTTTCATTTCACTCATTATTCTTTCTTATTTTTCTTACAAATACAGATCTTCCACCGATACAAATTCGTTTGGAAGAAAGACCAAAACCAGACTCTGGTCGTGTTGCAGTTCGCTATGGTAATATATGGGGGTCAATATGTGCAAGAGGACTAGAGATGAAAGATGCTCTGGTGATATGTCGTATGTTCGGTTATCCCGGAATAATTTCTTGGTACATTTCTCAATCTGTAAATGGTACTATCTGGTTGAGTAACCTGGAGTGTAATGGAACAGAGAAGTCAATAGCTGACTGTCGTCATCGAGGTTGGGGACAAACTACGCCATGCACTCATGACAGCGATATTGGTGTTAACTGTAAGAAAGGTAAGGAAAATAGTTTTACTTCAAAAATTATTTGTATGGACGTAACACACAAAAACAAAATCAAATTGATACTATTGCCTTAGCATTCAAAATTAGAACTGAGAAATAAGAGAAGAAATAATAAAGTAGAAAGGAGGGAGAAGAGAGGGGGGAAAAACCAAGGTGGCGCAGCCGTAAAATTTGTTCAGTCTCCAAACCCAAACCTCCAAATAGTCTAGAGAGTATTCAGTTCCTCACTTTGACTATAAGAAGTTGAGTTAAAAATTTCTAAGAAAAACTATATTGTAAAAATACGTGGATCTTAAGTATATTTTCTTCATTTTCTAACACTGTGAACAACACTATTGCCGTTTGCAGCTGATGCTCCCCGGTTCCAAATCAATGGAACCAACGCCATCACGAAATCAACGGTGGAGATCTTGTTGAACAATTCACTGACAATTGACCTTGGGCTTCAAAGGTACGAAATAATATCGCAATTGCAAACCAACCCACCAACCCACCAACCCACCAACCCACCAACCCACCAACCCACCAA